TACACACTACTAAGCACCCTCACGAAAAACAATTACAAGTGTGGCCACGGAGAGCTTTCAAGATTATCCGGCTTTTACACCTAGTGGCAGCGTACCTTCGGCTACAGACCCTCAACAGTTTACCCAGCAAGTATTCTTACCTCGAAAACACCCTCGCGTCAGTGTAGGCCTTCTTTTTCCTCGGGGGTCTGAGTATATAGCTAGTTGTTGATAAACCATGTCCGTCGTTGTTGAGTGTTGAGGGTTCGTCTTTTGATAACTTATTCGTGTTGTATGTAAACAATATAGAGCGGCGACAGAGGATCGTTCGTTGTTTGTTAATTGTTCGTGTCGTATGTGCGTAATATAGAGTAGCGACAGAGGATTGTTGTATATTTAAAATAATGTTGTATTTGCTCTTTGAAGGAAGGGAGGTTATTGTGAAGTGATGCATGTAAATGTGCAATGGAGGGAAGTGTCTGGGTATATATATACATGTATGAGTAGACACGTTCGCGTGTTAGATGACGATATCATGACATAATATCGCGTCTGTCATGATTGTTTTCCGTAAATAATAACACTAGAATCAGTATAACATTCCGGGGTACACATAGTAAAAAATTTTTTCACTGGCTAACAAGTCATAAAATTTATAATTGTCATGGAATGCTGTAGAAACATTTGGAAGGATTGTAAGGTGCTTTAGCCTTATAAGTATAAATGTTGTTATCTGCTGTAGAAACATTTGGAAGGATTGTAAGGTGCTTAGCCTTATAAGTATAAATGTTGTTGTCTGCTGTAGAAACATTTAGAAGGATTGTAAGGTGCTTAACCTTATAAGTATAAATGTTGTTGTCTGCTGTAGAAACATTTGGAAGGATTGTGAGGTGCTTTAGCCTTATAAGTGTAAATGTTGTTGTCTATGGTGTGAAGCAACCAATGACTACTCTACCAGTGCTAGGGGGATCCCTTGTCTTCTGCACATGCTGTAGAAACATTTAGAAGGATTGTAAGGTGCTTTAGCCTTATAAGTATAAATGTTGTTGTCTATGCTGCACATGCTGTAGAAACATTTGGAAGGATTATGAGAGGTGCTTTTTGTGTTTCTGTAAATAAAATTTTTTCACTGGTTAACAAGTCATACAGTAGGGTAATTTACTATGATAAGCCACGTGTATAAACTGATAATAATGATATCTTAATGATGAACAATATGATATCAGCATTACCTATGTGGTACAGCAAGTGACAGAACAACTTCGTGTAATACATGTAAACATGCTGTAGAAACATTTAGAAAGATTGTATGGAGGTGCTTATTTTCGTATGACAGATCATTTATGTCAGATCGGAATTATAGCATGATGTATGAATCAAGTTGGCATTCTACTTCAGTCTGTCTTGTCACTATATAGAGCTATAGATAAGTTGTATGCACACTAATACTACCGTAACAAGAAACACAACCATCGATAGGTGTAGTTACAATGATATATATGATAATGTCATAATATCATACAGTTTATATTCATTAATTGAGACAACAATTTCCTCATCTGTCATTTGTTCCTCACTCACAACTTTGATTATCAACCAGAATATACTCTGCAGAAATATGTGATATTTGGTCAATGAGAACTATGAGTTCTTGTTTCACTTTGGCATCATTTGGGGGAGAGTCTGTATACTGAAAACATTCGATTCGATAGATGATTAGCTAAAAATAGATCAATTAGTCCGCTTGAAAGATATATAAGTAGCGTAGATTTCAGTTAGTCAGGGAGTGAATAAGTGCATGTTTAATTACTCTCGATTCCTTTATTGTAAATAAATGAGTAGTTCTTTATACTCTGAAATACATTGTTAATGATTCATTCCCTGGTAACTTATCGGTATGCTGAGAAACCGCTAACCTCAATATATCGATGAAGAATAATGTATGGTTACACGTTGGTACAAATTTTACAATATTAACACCGTGCATTTCTTAATTTAGATACTCAAACTCTTTTTTGAATAAATTTGTAATTCAACCGGGCTTATTTACAGTTATATTCAAAGGTTCGAATTATACGATGTGCTTCACGTATGTCAATATGGTTGAGTTAACAAGATGCCGAATAAATCGTGCACGTTTTACATTTGCCGGGGTAGATCATTTGACTATGTAATAAAGTATGATACATTGTTTATTAAAAAGTAAATCTTGAGACTAATGTTTTATAAAATTGGTAACGAGTTCGATACTAATCGTCCCCGAATAGAATGCGTACAACATTCGAGCTCTGTTGAGCACCATGCAGTCACAAATTGGGAATATCTAAACATTTCTTATTGTGAAACAACTAGTCCGTCGTTAAACTTGCATCGTTACGGGACCGTGAAGGCTGTACAGCAATATCACGAAAAGAGTGGCGATATGTCTTTGAGAGATATACGTGGATTGATGATCACTTGCGTAATACCGTGGAATAACCTAGGGTTCTAGAGTTTCAGATTCGAGCAGGTGTGGGGATCTGCTTTTATCGCATCTTGTCTTCATGAAGTGGCTATCGCGTCTATCAAAGCCTTATTGGCCGACCCTTGCATCAGTTGTGAGCATACGTTAAGTTACAATTTCGTTATTGTAATTATGTGCAGTATCTCTCTTTGGTAACGTTTTGAGTTACTAAATTTGGTAAGAAGATAGTTTAGCACCGGGAGGTAAATTACCTTTTCAAATTTGGCTGGCGCTTATACGCATAGCGTCTGATCTTCTATCTGGGTCATAAAGAATTTTTATGGGACTTGTTATCGAAAATGCTACCCCGATATTGCCCTAAAAATGTTAAAGTCGATTCTCGAGCAGTAGACATTTAATGCATGATAGCGTTCGCTTCATCTAGGATAACTAACTATACAAGAACGAACGGCCATAAAAGAAAGAGGATGCGTACTTTCAACCTGGACAATAATAACACCCCAGTCACGTATAGTTAAATCGCCTATTTACTATGTTTTATATATGCAATTTTCTGCACAAAAAATATATGGTGAATGAACAGGCAAAAATTCTAGAAAAAGCTCAGGTTAAAGGCATTAATGTAGATGTTTATTGTTATAAAAGATAAAACAAATTTTTACTTACAGTATATTTTAATTATATTAAGTGAATACAAAGACATTTGCTGTAGGGGAGATAGAAACCAATGATTCAAGCATGTATCAAAGACTCTAGTTGCGAATTTAATGTAACATTCTGAACATGAAAGAGATCGATGAGAATAGGGGAGGGAATCATAAAGTTATCATTCCGTGATAAATGCATGTCAGAGGAATATTTATTGTGACAAGTGGATTTCCTTGACGGTCTGCCGTGCAAATTCATGCTAAATATAAATAGAGAATACGTTAATTCATTCAATTCTGTGTAAAAAAATACATAAGAATATTAGCATACCATTTCGGTTTGATTGTTCGCGCAATAATGTCAAGCCTATTAAAGAAGTAACATTACTCAGTTGATGACAAGAGAACTGTGCAGAAATTAAACCTTCTTGTTATTACTTACTGTTAGTGACACGAATTGGCATCTAGATATCTAGATTAAACACGTCTAAGTAACACATTTTTGACACACTATTTTTCCAGGTCAATATATTCGCCGAATTTTGCATGATATACAGTATGACATTGATGCCATCAACTACCCACTATATAAAAAACCAGAGTAAGAAGAACAGTTACGTGAAAGGAGAGCTGTATTTAGCTTTGCTATATACCTCGTTTAATGGTTCTCTCTGAGACTGTCATTTCTACCCTTCCTAATGCATAGTACATCACCTTTTTTATCAGTTGATGTAATAGATATTGTTTCCACTGTCTTCCTCAGACCCAAAACTGTAAGTTCGACATATGTGTTTGAGTAAAATGAGGTGTTGAAGGAATATATTGGCCAAAGTGTATGGAAAAAGGAATTTTTCATTTTCTTCATTAATTACCGTTAATTAATAGCTTGTAGAAGTTATTTGAACTTCTGTTTCAAATAGTAAACGAATCAAATTACTAAAGTTCTGAAGGTCAATATTATGTTCTTGTGGGGTTGGAAGCTTAGTGGCAAGTCTAATTCCTTCCATTATCTACCTAATTATGAACATGTCTTTTTTTATTACCTTAGGCAATTATTATTTATTTTGCCCATGCTAATACATGCCTGGAATGGCAAAGTGTAATTAAATCAAATCCTTATAATATCAAAAATCCAGACTCCTTGTCAACTGCCTTCCATGATGCCTGTTATTAAGCATTTCTCCCCGAAAAAGTAATGCCCGGTGATTATGATTTCACATACTACGTGTATTATTCGAAATCTGTGTATGAAAAACCTAGACGTATTATTCAGTGCAGCGTATTTCATAAAAGAATCGAACTTGTAAAAATTTGTTAATAGCAACTTTCCCTTGGAATAAACCCATTTTAAACATTAGAAATATCTTTTTGCTTAATGAATTTTAGCAAATATAATGTCATTAAATAACCTTGACTTTTTTTTTTTTTTGAAAAAAAGGCTTTTATATTTAGGACCAGCCACTCAAACAACTGCACTTAAAATTAGATAGCTTTACAGGGGACTGTATATGATACCAATCTTAGCAGGGCTGCTGCACGAACATTCAAAAGTCTTTTTTAGGGGCGAGGAGTACGTGTTAATAATAAAAAGTTAATTATTTGGTTTGCTTATCAAAGAGTGTTCTTTTACTTGCACTTCTGAAGACGAACATTGTGTTAAATATCTACATAATCTGACTCGGCCACGAAAGCCTTAAAAGTAATTCTGTCTGTTTATTAAATATTGATCATGTACATTATTGTCACAAGCGATAAAAGTACAAAAACAATTTATATACAGTATTAATCTCCAATAATGTACGCAGAGAGTCTCGCTAGCCATTATTTGCCAGTAGACGTGCTCACCATGTTTTGTTGGCAGTAATTAAGGATTGAAAATCCACCATCACAATGATTAGTTTCATTGGCGTTTGTAATTGGTAGAGATAACTGTTCCATTTTCTACAGAACACGTTTACTTAGATGCAATTCGTACACAGAAATGTATAATTGGCCGAAGAATGCAATATACATACCGAAACATCTATAATCACTTCTGGCGTGTCTGCAGTTTTAGCAGTAACGAACATGTCCTTCATGTTCTTAAGTTTATGGCATATCCATTCGTACATTGTTTCCTCCGCTGTAAATTATGTTAATAAACCGTTCTGTGCATGTATGTAGGATAGTCATAACGATAGTGAAATATACTCACGTAAATCAGTGGTGGTGCTAACCATTGATTGCAGGCAGATGTTGACAACGGAGCAACGAGACTTGCAAGAATTGGTTTCATTGACGTTGGATATGACTTGACTTCCCTTGCTTTTTTTCTATAATGTATATTATATTATAAACAACCTGCACAGCATTTACGCGAAGAAAAATACCTTGCATACCGAACTACTCCTTTCCGTATTCTCATTAGCCTCCGCTTGCACTCCTGACTGTGGTTCTCCCTGCACGACAACGTGCACATGCTTTCTGGGAGGTTGACCGGAGAAGTATTCTGAGATTTCGTCGAAGGACGATAGTAATTTTACGTCCGGAAGCCCTTCCCTGATGGTGATGTCAAACTTCTTGGTCGTGGTAAGGCTTAAATTCGGTTCCGGTTCGTTGAGAGGGATATTAACCTTCCATAATTTAAGGTTTTTGGAGTCAACGCCGGCGAAAGTTTGCGGTTGTTCCTGTTTGATGGCTTTCTTGAGATGACTGACGAGTTTGCTGTCGTCAATATCAACTGCGAAAACGTTTTCATAAGGGTCATCGCCCATAACCAAACAGCTTAGCGTAATGGTCGACATTTGTTTCGCCTCTAAATGAAAATAATACGAGTGACTCGAAGAAATTCAAGACAGATTCTTATCGTGCCTATATAAAAAATGATTATCAACAAGTTACACAAATTGATATTCACATGAGGGAGCGCTTAGCAATAAAGAGTAATCTTGTGCTTGTCAATTAAATGCAACTTGATGAAGATTTGTCAAGATTTGCGGCTGCGCGTTTAGCCTTGCCCTGCTTTCTGCGTCACAATGAATGACAAATATGCAACTTCTATTCCCATCGGATCCCTGTAGGTGTAACGCGTATCTTGCACATTCGTTATGCCCAGCCTTTCGAGCCTTTCTCAAACTATATCGCTTTAATGTTCAATTATCGCTTTATTAGTTTGTGTTTCTTCCTAATAAGCGCATGGCCATCAATTTCTATTTTTATTAGTGTCACTTTATCATTGCAATACCGGGCCGGGCATAAAATAGCACATACGCCTGTCTGGGCTCCCCATCATTCTGTGGATCACATATTAATATGGCCAAGGCTTCCCTGACATCTGCCAAGACTGCTGTATTTCGGCATACTAGTAAATCGAGCTTTGATTAATTACTTGAAGCCTATAAAAGCCAACATTTTGAGGACATACGTTATTACGTTGGTAGCAATTCATTACATCTTTCTTCTAGAATATTTAAAGACAAAAACTTCATATACTCAGCCGCCAACAGAACATGCCTTGCCATGCACGAAACAAGATAACATGTGATTCTTTGCTGTGAAAAGATTTTACTTGAAGACGATTGAAACCTGTCACTTGCAAAATGTCAACATTCTGGATATGAATCGTCACATGGCGCTACTGAATTGAGTGGCTTGTACTCTGGTACATTGTAACCGTTGTTGCATATCTCGAAATGAGGTGCTTGATTGACAGAGCCTTTTTAGTGTAAAGTTTGTTGTACGAGATTCAGATATTTTAAGCAAGGAAATATGGTTTTATCATGTGAATCCTCGAATGAAACTAGTAAACAATGATCATAAACTTATTAATTTTTGTCCTACAAATGACTACCAAAAGTTGATGCAAGTCGAGGATCAGGCTTTTTGGGGTTAATGACTTTATGCTTACTTGCTAGACAGTCTGCGAAAAGCAAACTTTAATTCCTATTGTTTTTGCCCGCGATTAAACGCTCCTTTCACCTTTGATATCTCAATTAGGTATTTAGCAGGGATAGAAACGTTAAAATTATTTGATTATGTTTATTGTCCGATTATGTTATAGTCGTATCATATTTATGTGCACCGAACAAGATGCAAAAGCAAAGGCTATACAGTATTGACGTAACCATAAGCGCGAGAATATATGAACGAGATAAACGAAATTATTTTTCATGTGTTAAGCATTATTAATGGTTTTTGCAAATACTAATATGTGTATATTACTATTACGCTTCGAGAATTAAAATTGCTTATTTGTAGATTTCGAAAGTTGCAGTGATAAAACGTCGACCCTTATCCTTAATACTAAGTTATAAAATCAGTCTGTCATCAATGCCCGTGCTTGCTCGCTATATATCACACGAATTTCTAGCCATATTTCAACCCAACCGCGAATCCAATGGCAAAACTCATATCTGCGTGAAGAGTATTCTTAACAAACTCCATCGCATTATTGGCCACTTGTCGAAGATCTCTCTCTGTTACTCTTCCATCTCGATCTAAATCAAGCACCTGTAGATAGTATGGCTCCATTTCCCCCCAATACTGACTCAAATTCAAATGATATCCCTGCACCTCCATCACTTGAATGATGACAAATGCAGCTCCCAGTGCCAAGGCAGCTAATTTACTGACTTTCTTCACCAAATATCCGGACGCAAAGCCTAATGTTCCACCCATAACCATCTGCTGGACGTTCTGTTGGTTCTCATTGTTTCCACCATTTCCACCATTTCTGTTACGGTTTCTGTCATTCCTAATTTCTCCACTAGGAAAAGAGAATAGTGGTGGAATATTGTTCGTATCATATATAATGGGCGTGGATGTCTGTGGTCGTGTGGTTGTATTATGATTCTCATCTGAGCAAAGCGAAAAATCGAATCGGAATGTAGGCTTTTCTATCGGGTTACATAACGTAAGTCACTAATTTGTGTTAGGTGAACATTGCTTACCAGTACAATATATAACATTGTAAGCACTTCCAGTGGCACTTGAAAAGATCGAATAAACAGCATATGAAACAACAGCAGTTCCAATAGAAGTTTGTGAATTAAATAACAAGCAGTACAAAGATGTCGGTCTTCCGCGAAGACATTGCTTATCCGGAATGACAACTGCTGTCATATACCCTCTACTAAGTTTATCTACTAAATGTAACAATTGCGAACCATATCAGTACGCTATAGTTGCTACCGAGCGAGCGTCTTTGGTATAAAGTTGAATCAAAATATTCGTCGATTCACCATGGTTATCAGGCCCTTCGAGAACTCTGTGGTAAGGCCGGCTGGAAATGCGAACAGGCATACCAAAGCATGTTGGTCGATAAGTGACGGGAGAGCGTACGACGCTGGACAGTGTGTGAGAAACAAGTCTACCCTGCTGGGGAAGTGACATGATTGATGTTAAAATGAAAGTCTGTGCACCAGTGGTTTTAAGCCGTTACTATGCTTATTATGATTGGTCGATAAATTAAAACTCCGCATCCAATGATAATAATAAATGGGGACCTTTCTTTTGAGCCGTTCAGTTCAAAATGGCTACTTCCCCCAGACCAAGACCTACAACAGGAACATCATCAGACGGGACCAATTCATTACAAGATGAGACAGGTAGCATTGGAACAGGGCTAAATCGATCTAGTGTACCATCGTAAGTTGTTGCCGCTTTCCGATTGATATGTGCTTTTACCCCGCATGCTCACATAATTTCCTTGAAGGTATGAGAACAGACCACCGCCTCCAATTCCTCCATTTTCGGCTGCCGGAGGAGGCGCTGCTTATACCGACAAGCTGGCTGCCAAACAAGCGACCATTGCTGAAGAATACCCTGCTATCATTAATATGAGGTAATGTCTATGTGAATGCGATTCCTGGCCATTATATATATAAATATATATCGTTACTCATTGATCTATTTCCAAAGCAAAGAAGAGCTGGAGGAATTGTTATCGAGTGATGTAGTGTTTGATGCATTCTTTGAACAGTTGGAACAAGTAAGAAATATGATGATACTGCAAGACGAAATGAGGATGCAGAACGAGCTGTTAGCAAGTATGGGACACTTTTATGAAAAAACAACAGTTATATAATCATTCTTATTCCTCATCTAATATACAAGAACATTATTTCGCAAAGAGAAAACCTTATCACGTGAACAAGAGTTAATACAGTTGCGCGAATCGATTCATGAACATGAAGATAAAGTGAGGGAAATATACAGCACATTGCAAGAGAAACTGAAAAAGCAACAGGAAGCACTTCAGGTAATCATGCGGAAATTTAATTATTTATTTTGTTGTTTCACGCAGAGATAGAACCCAGCCTGATTTAACTTAGAATGTGTTCGTGGGCCACACGTGAAAAAATGTAGCTTGCTCAAGTTGCCCATATAGGCACATATCGGTTAGAATATATTAACAGAGAGAACGAAAAGATATTTCATATTTTAGTCTACACAAACGTCGCTAGCTGGAGTCTGATCTCGGAATAGACTTATATATACCCAATATCCCCTCCCCCACCTCCCCAAACATACCTCATTACCCATCACACATTGTCCATATTACTCATTATACATCCCTATAATCATTATTACCAATTGTCAACGTCATAACTAAGTATTATTACACAATTATCTTCTTGTTATTAGCGTTTTACACCCGAACTACTTATCGCAAAATTGAAATCTGAATCTCAGTCATGTGACGAGTTATCGGAGCAGGTAGCTAATTCTTTTTTGGAAGGTGGTCTTGAGGTTGATGCATTTTTAAAGGGATACCGGGAACTCAGGAAAGTATATCATTTGAGAAATGCAAAGATCGAAAGAGTAGCTAGGAAACCGCAGATAATGGGGTTAACACAATAAAAGTAACAAGGGGTGAAAGGGTGAAGGGGTGAAAGTGAAGGTGAAAGGGTGAAACGGTAAAAAAGTCAGAAGAATGAGTTTGGCGGATATCAATTGCAATGTGAGCCATTGCCAATAATTCATTGTCAAAGTCGTTTAAATTATTTTCCCAATCTTGTAATAAACTACTTGTACTGTCTTTTGTCGTGCTTCCCGGTCTTAAATCTAAATTTACAAAATCCAAGGACATTTTATATTTACTGATTTTTGCAGCGAATAAGTAATCTTGTCACGTAGCAGTCCAGGCATCTGAAAAAGAAGAACATCGACCTCAATATATACGTACGTATAATCCCACCCCCAATTCGCACGGCTTTACCTGTCACCAACTTTTCCACTCTCTTCACACACCATTATTCACTTACCAATCTTTTGGTTTTCTAATCTCATCTATGAGGGAACCACTTTCGCGTACTCCAGTTCATAATGTACTTGCCCGATTCGGGATCCCATCTTTCAAAAAAGCTACCGACTAATTCAGTAGTTATCGGTCCAAGTGCTCTGGCTAATTCCCAATCCTGTTCATCGCCCGCGTAATCTCCGTATAAAATTGGAGGAACCGTTCGAGTGAGGCGATCAGAAGTAGCTGGTTCTAATTTGAGTTTCTCTTCGGCACAGTACAAGAATGTGCCTCGTCGAGTTAATATTTCATAGAACGGCTGATTTGGCCGAAGATCTCGATCCTATTAGAGTAATGTAAGAAATTGAGATATAATTGCAATTTCGGAATTGGCTTAAGTATGAAGAATCTCAATAAAGTCTATATCAAGGATAATTCAAGGAATTCAGAGCCTTACGCAATATGCAAATTTCCCTACAGTTTCTGCTATTTCGATGTCAAATACTATCATAAGAACGAAAAAGACATTTCAAGAAACGTAATGTAATTAGTACTCAACCCTGACTTTCTCAAATACTTCTATCACACACTCATTCTTTCTCTGTTTTTCTCGGTCCTCACCTCGATCCCATCGACATATGACTCCAAGACATCCAAACTTTCCAAAATATACTACATCCCCAATAAAGAACTTTGGGTCCCTTTCCCCGATTACTCCTCTCTGCACTTTCCCCGAATAATCCCACTCAATAGAATCATTAGTCTCCAATAGTTCGATATCAGACTGAATAGTCGCTGTCATATCATTCCACAAATCAAGATCTGCCCCTTGCGCATTCTCAAAATAGGGCGCCACGTCCCTTAACGCTTCTCTTGCCAATTCATAGTCTTCAGGGTATTGATAGGTAACTGCAATGTATGTCCACCAGTCTTCGATATCTCGACATACGGCTTGGAAATCAAGCTCATTCGCTTCTAATCTAGTAAGAAATTGTCTTTGTAATGCTGCACCGTAGAACAGCTCCGAGCTATGACCTAATAGTCTGGATAAATTCTGGCAATAATCATGAACAAAGAGAACAAACAATTCCGCCTGAGGAATAGGGATATAATCTCCAGAATATGCACCATAGTACTGGAGTACATGTTGATCAAAAATTTCTTCCGCCATGACTCCCGTTGTAGAGTGTTTTTTAAAGTCAATAAAATAAACTGCATATTCATCATCAACTTCGATAGAATCTTCCAAAGTGTCTGATATTATCCGTTCGTAATATCGTACAAAATGATATCTCCGATATGAGCGCCGTTCTCTGTCAGCCACTACTTCTACGTTAGGTATACCACATTTCCTAGCGAGCTCTTCGAATATGATTGCTAATATTGAAGCTTTGCTTCCTTTTGTCTCTGTGATTGGATGTAACATATACATTAACTTAGTCTCTATTTCGTAATATGAGTGATTGGATCCGTATTTTTGTGTAAAGAACGCTGCAAGAGCGTAAAAGCGATCAAGTGGAGAAGCAGCGTCGGGCGGATGAGATCTCATAAATTCACCGGTCAACATATTAATTTCGTTGATAATGTCCTCTAAGTCTATCCTTTCATTGAACAATATTGCCATCAGACCGAATCCATGTATTGTTGAGAATTGGATGTTGCCATCTCTCCATGCTCTCCACTGACTTATGACATGATAACGTCTTGTACACTGCAGCGTTCGTTTAGCAAAGTAGCTGTGAGTGAGAGATGACTAGAATGAGCATCCATTAAGAGTCGGTAAAGCGAGACGAAAATGTAGGGAGGGGGGGGGGGGGAATGGGTAAGTGCGAATAAAAGGAAACGAGTTAATGTACAGAGTAATATGCTTGTACGGAAAACACATACAGTATATAAACAACATAAATCAATCTACGACTGATTTATTACTATTCAAGATCATCAGACCTCATCGGGTTTGTTCATCACCCACAATAAGACATCTCTAGCATTATCACCCAACTGTCTTAGTTTCCTGGTATTAGCCAAGAATAATGCTCCACAGTTTGCTAAATCATTCAATATTTCGAGCGCCCATTTGTCAGTTGTTGCTCTTGTTAAGAATACTTGTCTCCATCCTGTAGTGTTCTTGGGTTTAATCTTCCAATATTTCCATCTACTCATATGATCATAGAGCATCAATGATGGGGATAACAGAAGATTAGGAGGATTAAGAATTGGAAGATTGACAAGTCAGGAAGACTAGAAAGACTAGGCTTTATAAGAAAAGAATGATTAATACTATGGTGATATTATCTTAAGCTGATTAGTTGGTTTCTACTGTGACTATAGTGTTTTCATCATTTTCTCTTCTATTTATTATAAAAAGTGTGCTATCTCACCTTCGTCTGCAAAGTCTCTCCCATACACATTCACGATAGCATGCGTCTCTCCATGTTCTTGATACTTGTGCACATCGAGAAATATCTTCTGCTTCCAAGTGATCAAGTATATGATATAGACAAATTATTGAGGGTTCTAAGACCGACATCTAGCTGAGCTATTTTTTTTAAACGGGTTGAATTCCTGTGTGTGAAAAAATTTGAGTTGGGTATTTGCCATGCGCCGTTTTTCAAATGTGACACCACAGTCGGGATGATTTTAAATCACGTGTAGTGTATAAAGGCGTAATGGTTAGTATTAGCGAAAGCAAGTGTATTAGGAACCGTTTGTAAATGAAAAAGTATAGAATGAATAAACTGATGAATCTCGTTATGGATATCTAACCGGTTATTGCAGTATGTTGTGTAGTTTCCTACCTTGATGGTATATGCAAGTCAATTTTAAAAAAGTGTTCTGCGAAACAAGACTATAGCGATTTTAATGGAAGGAATAACGATAAGGAAACAGCGATCAATGCAAAAAGTTCCAGATTACGATTTCAAAATAAAGAGGACGCAAATGGAAACAATACACGTGTTCATCACCTTATCGTAATAGTAACAAAAACAAAAACACAGTTACATCATAGTAATAGGGGTGTTAGTGTTGTAAAGTAGTGATCATCAACATATAACCGCTTTTTTGGACACCATCGACTACACCATAAGAATTACTGTAGTACGTAACGTAGGCGGGAATTGTTCAAGCACGACAACACATTAACGTCTAATAAAAGATGCAGAAATCCAAGCTTTAATATTGACTAACGGGATGTGTAATATTGACTAACTCACTATAGAAAAATAGAACTTATGACGTCATTAATTAAAACTGTGCTATACCCAAATTAGGAATCTACGTATCAACAGTTTCGGGAAGTTAAATATTCACATTAAATAAAATGCTATGATCGATAGTCAAATATACATATCGTAACGCATCGTCCCATAAATTAAATTAGAACACCTTTAGTGTTTAATCGTAGGTATTATTAATAAAGGAACATAAACTACAGTAATTCAAAGAGGGACTGAGGAAACATTCCCAATCGAGCCATTAAACTAAACTACACACCGGATGATACAGAGATGACAGTAAGTAATAACAAGAAGGGTTAATTTATGCACAGTTCCCTTATTGCGCGAACAATCAAACTCGAAATAATATGCTAATCTTCTTATGTACTTTTTTACACAGAATTGAAAAAATTAAAATGTATTCTCCATTTAGTATGAATTTGCACGATAGACCGTCAAGGAAATCCGGAACAATGTGTTGTAAATATTCCTCTGACATGCATTTATCACGGAATGATAACTTTGTGATTCCCTTCCCTACCTAATCCTATTCCCTTCGATCTCTTTGATGCTCGGAATGTTATATTAAATTCGCAACTAGAGTCTTTGATACATGCTTGAATCATTAGTTTCTATCTCCCCTACAGCAAATGTCTTCGTATTCACTTAATATAATAATAAGTAGTAAAAATTCGTTTTATTTCTGATTATTGCATATAAAACATCTACATCAAATGTCTTTAGCCTGAGCTTTTTCTAGAATTTTTGCCTGTTCATTCATCATATATCTTTTGTGCAGAATTTCATATATAAAACATAGTAATAGGCGATTTAACCATACGTGACTGGGATGTTATTATTGTCCAGGTTGAAAGTACGCATCCTCTTTCTTTTTATGGCCGGTGGTTCTTGTATAGTATCCTAGATGAAGCGAACGCTATCATGCGTCAAATGTCTAGTGCTCGAGAATCGACTTTAACATTTTTGAGGCAAATATCGGAGTAGAGATACCTGCATTTTCGATAACAAGTCCCACCTACGTAAAATTGAGTCTGTAAAAATTCTTTATGACCCAGATAGAAGATCAGACGCTATGCATATAGGCCTTAAAATGCTTCAAGAAGGCCAGCGTATGTAATAGCCGATTTTGCTCTTTACATTCGTAGTAGGTATTTTGCCAAATTTGGCAATAGATCGGGGAGAGGCATTTTACCTCCCCGGTGCTAAACTGTCTCCTTTACCAAATTTAGTAACTCAAATCTGGTAGGAGAGGTACTGATGAGAAATAGCAAAATTGTAATATCCTGATGACTGATGCAGGGTCGGCCAATAAGGCCGTGAGGTACACCTTTAGCGTTCAATCGTAGGTGTAGACAATAAAAGAACGCAAAACTCCAATAAGGCCGCGATAGCCATTTCATGACTAGAATCCTAGAGATGCGATAAAAGCAGATCCCCACACCTGCTCGAATCTGAAACTCCTGTAGGAACTAGAACCTTAGGTCATTCCACGGTATATTACGCAAGTGATGAATCATCAATCCACGTATATCCCTCAAAGACATATCGCCACTCTTTTCATGATATTGCTGCATAGCCTTCACAGCCCCGTAACGATGCAAGTTTAACGGCATCCAACAACCGACTAGTTGTTTCACAATAAGAAATGCCCAATTTATGACTGCATTGATTTGGGTATGAAAATAATGTCAGGAAGCACGCATCATCCGGCTGGTGCTGAAATGCTTCGAACAGAGCTCGAGTATTTTATTCAGGAACGAAACTCGTTACCAATTTCATAAAACATTAGTCTCAAGATTTACTTTTTAATAAACAATGTATCATATTTTATTGCATAGTCAAATGATCTACCCCGACAAAAGGCGTAAACGTGCACGATTTTATTTTAACTCAATCATATTGACATACGTGGAAGCACATCGTATAGTTCGAACCTTTGAATATAACTGCGAATTACAAATTTATTCAAAAAAGAGTTTGAGTATCTAAATTATAAGAAATGCACGGTAAGTTAATATTGTAAATTGCTTATTTGTACCAACGTGTAGCCATACCTGCAGCTGAATCCATATCATAGCTATTTCTTGGTTTAGGCAGATCTCCAGTAGGTAAGAGCCTACTAGAATATTTACTCTCCTTCTCGAGACGTGATAAGGGTCTTACATCATTATGATAGATGGTATTCCATGCGTTGCTGTTAGAATTGTCCACCTCTTTAATAAGCTTGCGAATATCATTCTGAAGTGTCTCTGCATCTGGACGCTTATCAGGATCAGCATCACAACACCGTTCGGCAAGTTTCTTGTATTCCTCTGGTGCGGAATCAGGCATCGATGGTCGTAGTCCGCCCA